ATGTATTTTTATTATTTCCTAGTGAAGGTTAGGGTAAGGGAAGGAAAGGCTGTCAACATTCACATGTTTTGTAGGTATTTTTAGTATTATATATTGGAAGTACTTATTTATTTAACTAACATGTATTACAAAATGTTTGTATAAAATTTGTAACATATACGTATTTTTATTTAATAGAATTCATAAACAATTTTATAAAATATTTTACATTCTTTTATAAATAAAATGAAGCATTTTTTTATTTATTTATTTTTATACATTTAGTTACCAACAGAATTTTCAATGGTAAATTCTATTGGTAATAATTCTGTCAATAATTACCAACAGAATTTATTGACGAAAATTTTGTCAATAATTATCGATAGATTTTGTTTATTTCCAATAGAATAGCATTACTGATTTGGCTAACATCGATGAAAGTTTTTCGTTAGTAAATTTGTCAATAATGCTTTTACCGATGAAATTTAATTTTTACCACATAATTTTTATTCGGTAAAACCCATTTTTCTAGTAGTACATTGAGAAGTTATTAGCTCTTGCACAGGAGCAATACATTAAGAAAATTCTAGAGTAATTTAATATGCAAGATTACAACTTGATAGATACTCTTATGGCAAAAAATAAAGCTCTTAGCTAGATAATATATCCTAAAACTCCATAAAAGAAGGAACAAATGACAAGAGTTCCTTACTTTAATGTTGTTGGAAGCCTTTTGCATGTTATTATGTGCACAAGGTTAAATATTTGCTATATTGTGGGCATGGTAAGCAGAGATCAATCTAATCCAAGTCAACTCCATTGGAAAGCCATTAAAAGGATATTGAGATATCTAAAAGACATTGCAGATTATTGTTATGCTATCAAGGAAGTTATTTGCATTTAATTAGCTATACGGACACTGATTGTAAAGAAGATTTAGATAAGAAAAAATCTACCTTGGCTATATTTTCTTATTGACCAGTAAGGCTATTTCGTGGAACAGTAAGAAATAGACTTGTATAGCACCATTCACATTGAAAGCTAAATTTGTAGCATTTTTAACAATGGCATAAGTGGTTGTTTGGCTTAAGAGATTCTTGAATCATTTGAGATTTGATAAGGATAAATCCAACTCAGTGTTAGAGAATTGTGATAGTCAAGTTGCAATCGCATTTACAAAGGATCTCAAATATCATTCGAAGATCAAACATATAAATACCAAGTATAGACATGGTTGCACAAAAAAAAAGTCAACATTTAGTATATTTCTACATAAAAGATGATTGTAAATCTGTTCATTAAGCCCATACCTATTTATGTGTTTAATAGCCACATTAGATCTCTAGAGATGCGTAGATGCTAATGAACATGTACTGATTGAATTGTTTTATGAAAACAATGTATGACATTTTCCTATTTGAGTTTATTTATATATTGAATACAATTAATGCCATTAAAATTTAGTTTTTTGTTTTGTGATGCATGCACACATGTAAATGTACATATACAATATGATTGGAAAGGTATGTCCTACAATTCACTTTGTCTATCTTAAAATGCTAGGTGAAAGTCTTGTTGATTATGAGAAATCAATTAGAGTTGTCAACTTAAGTAGATATTGGGAATATCTAAACTATCACATGTACAAGACTGATGTAATGATGAAAGACATATGCCTCTTAGGAAAAGGAAAGTAATATCGTAACATGTTTTTTATACCATATATTCATTGTTCAACCAACAAGAGTAACTAAGAATAGACTCTACCTTTGAGATCAAAGGATCTTATATTTAACACTCTCATAGACTTTTTATTTTTTCTTAAAGTTTTAGTTTAGTGGTAACTATCTTGGAATATTGCCAATGGTCATGAATAAATTCGATCTAATAGAACATATCTACATAGCTATTGAATTGAAAAAGATAGATTCTAGAAAAAGGAAAGATCATTCTAGTGTTATATTTGATTGTATTTATAGGTCGATCAATTATGTTTGAGATATTGCATATAATTATGGATACACAAGTATAACTTACAATATGATAAAAGAGAGATCATAAGAAACTTGAAATGTGACTAAATGGATTTAAGGTATTGTATATTTATTCTACTTGTACTTGAGAGCTACAACACTTACGTAACAATCGTATAAATGACTAAATGTAATTATAAGTTGTTACATGCACCTAATAGTTATATAGCAACTAGATGTCGAAGCATATTGGTCGCATGGCTTATTTTCTTGTATGAACTCAATACAAATAATAGAAAAAATATTATCTTGATTATGAGAGTTGGGCATCCATTTTGTGCAAGCAAAAAATGTTATAGAAAAAGCCTAACCATTCATGGGTGGTTTGATTTCAAGGAATTGGCAACTGCCATAAGGTAGTTTGCCTAAGAATGAATAGGGCTGAGTAAAAAAATCGAGACAACTAAAAAATTGACTCAAACTAAAGTATTCGAATAGGTTCTATTTAGATTTTAAATAGTCTAGTTCAGATTCGGATAAATAATGTCATCAAATTGTAAAAATTTAGATCGATTCAGTTTTTTTGTTCAGATTTTAAAAAACCCGAATTAACCCGAATAAAGCCCAAAAATTGAAGTTTGAAAATGGATAATGGCCCAAAAATCCAATTCAAAATTAAAGTCTTCAAAGCCCAACTAAAAGCACTTAACTGCTTTATCTATTTACGTTTTTAACTTTTTTTACCCATTCACCTTTTGGGCAATTCAAATATCCATTAAAAATTAAAAATTTTTAATCATTTCTTGTTCTCATCATTTTCAACTTTTTAAACTCTTTTTACCCATTCACCTCCAGGCATTAGTAATGGCAACGGGTCAAGTTGGGCCGGGTTTTTGCATGTCCTGAACTCGACCCGACTTTAAACATATAAAACCCGTACCTGACTCGATAATTTTTTTATTTTTTAATACCTGAACCCAACTCGACTTGACCTGACTCGACCCGACATTGTATAAAATCGAATTCGACCTGACCCAAAATTAATAAAATATTATTTTTAATATAAATATAAAACTAAATATATATAAAATTATATAAAATTAAATAATTAATTAAAAAATAATTTTTTATATATATCGGGTCGAGTAGGATCAGGTTTGCCTAAAACCTCACCCCGACCCAAACCCAAAATTTTTTTATGCCACCTGACCTAATACTTGATTTTCAAAAAAAAAAAAACATCAACCATAAGAGATCTGGTCGGGTTGAAACCCGTCGGTTTTGGGTATTTTTGCCTTTTCTACTAGACATTCCCTTCCCGCCCTTTCACATGGCACATCATCATCTTCAATCTCTTTAGATCTCAGTTTCACACTTTCTCTCAACCTCATCTCTTGCCTCATATAATCATAGTATCTTATATTCCTATAGTCTAACTCCTAGACACCTCGTGGATCTTTAATCTTATTATATAGTTTCCACTCCTTTGATTTCTTTATTTGAATATGGTTCATTGTTATTTGCTTTTTGGTTTTCTTGTTTTTACCCTATTCCAATCTCTTTTACCTATTGGTTTCCCTACAAATTGATTTTAATGTATGCAGATCCAAATAATCAATCCAAATTTATGCGAATTGGTTTTAATCAAATATTTTTCTTATAGGATCAAATGCAGATTATAAAAAAAAAAAAAAAATCTGCATAGGTCAGATAAATCAAAAAAATTTACTATCTAAACCAATCCGATCTAATATCACCCCTAGGAACGAAACTACCTTTGACCGTTAAGGATGTTTAAATTTTAAACATCTAAAGTGCCGTCCCCTTCTTATATATATAGGATGGCATTCAGCATTATTAAGAGAGATAAGAAGATTATCTCAAAACCAAAAATGGAATAGAAAGGAAAAAGGGAGGGCGAATTGTACATAAAGAGAAAGTAAACTCTCGTAAAGGAATTTCTTGTATTTTCAATGTATATGATTTTGTTTAACGACTAAAGATTTAAGTTAGGTATTTGTTTTCGTAAATCAAGTCTTCCACATTTATGTATATGATCATATTTATATTATCTGTCACTTTCCAAATTCATTTTTTTTCCTTGTTTAGTAAAGATGTTGGCAGATTTAAAAAAAAAAAAAAAAAACAAAAACGATATATTGAGAAACAAATTTTAATTGAAAACAATATTAAGCCAATTGATGCTTGTGATTGTCTTTACACGTTGCCCTCTTTGCAATTAATCTGCCAAAGTTTCTTGACATTTTATGATAATTGCATTCTTCCTTCAATGAATTATTCTTTTCTTATTATCAGATTTGTATGGAAGTGAAGCGGAAGCATGAAATACCAGGGACTAGACTCCTTTGGCATTCGCCTCTCGGACTCCCACCACGTTTGCTCTTCAAATTTTGTTCCACAACATTTTTTCCTTTCCCCAATTTCTTCGTTCCTTTCTCCTAGTTATTTTTTTATTCCTAAGTTTGCATTTCCCTCTTCTTCGTTATCTACCTGTATTATCTACCTAAGGCGCAATAATATGGTTTTATTTGAAATTTTTCATGGGATTAGTTGATTATCTCTCTATTCGCTGTCTACTTCTATCTCTAAGTTTATGATTTTTTATTTAAAATTTTATAGTTTGTCTTTGTAAATAATTTTATAAATCTCAATATGTTAAAAAAAGAAAAAATTCCTTTGGATAGAGGAAAGAACCGCAGCTATGGGAGAAGATCAGCGCATGTTACTCTTTTACAACTTGAATTTTTGTTAAAATATCATAATCATTTATTGGTGACACGGAAAAAACTCGTAAGAGAATCAAATAATTTATTTTAATTAGTCACGTGGAATTAGTAATGTCATTCATTACGCAACTTTGCCTTTGGTTTACTTTTTGATAGATCTCATGGCCGACTCCTTCCCTCCCTGCGGTTTACGCGTGGCTTGAAAGCAACCGTCCACTTCCCATCCTCTGACTTTGACCTTAATTCTTCAACTTTGACTTTTTCTTCAATCTTCAAGGTCTACCCTAACGCAAATAAATACTAATTACTACTTCTTCCCTCTTTCTGTTTCTTTAACCTATCCTATAGATAAGCGATCTTCAACCTTGACTGGTTAATTAGACATCCTTTTGCTTCTTGTTCCTATGTTGAAAAGATGAGTGCTGCTGCTGCTGCTGCTGCTGCCGCTGTCGAAGAACGCTTTGGAATTGGATGCAACCCTCAAAGGAAATACAAGGGAGTGCGTCGTCGAAGATGGGGTAAATGGGTGTCTGAAATCCGAGTCCTGGGCACACAGGAACGCCTTTGGTTAGGCTCTTATTCCACCCCGGAGGGCGCTGCCATTGTCCGTGATATTGCTTTCTATTGTCTGCGTCGACCATCTTCCTTAAGTGCTCTCAACTTTCCATCCATGTTACCTCCAAATGTCAATGCAAACATGTCTCCCCGGTCTATACAGAAAGCAGCATTGGATGCTGGCATGGCAGTCGATGCCCAGATGATCGTGAGCAGTCCCATCGACAACAGTGTAATTATGGGCATGGAGACAGAGTCCTGGGAGAACGATAGCAGTAGGGGCTCGAGGGAAGGAAGTGTGGGAAAAGAAGGGGGAGCTTTTAGCATTTCAGTTGAAGACTATCTCTAAATAGAATGGCATTAATTTTACATGCATATGACTCTGTATAAACAAATACTGCTGATTTGCTCGGAAGATAGTTATTTTTTAGTTTAGAAAATTCCTCCTGTTTTTGGAACTGCAAGTGGGTTTGGGTGATTGCGCATTCTATGATTCGTCAATTTAACGTTATGAAACCTTTGGAATTCAAATCCAATTCATCAGTTGACTCTCTGCAACTTTTGACTAAACAATGCAAATTTCTGACATTAATTTGGTGACTGCTTGATTCATGATTGCAGAACTTGATCTCCCATGCTGATAGGCATGATCAGGTATGAGATATTATTTCAGCTTTTAACATCTATATTATTTTTCTTTATGCTAAATAAACAACACTAAAAACAATTTTGCGTGTGATTTACAGGAGGGTACTTGTATGTAGAGCGAGGTTAGGGGAAAGGTAGCAATAGAGGAAATTCGGATTGAACTAGGCGACTTCTTCCTTTCAGAGTCGGAGTCGGGTTTTAGAACTCAAACTCTGAACGAGGACGGGTCGAGATTTAGGTGAAGACCTAGGAAGAGTAGCAAGCAAAAATCTGTCCCGCGTAACAGCCTCAAAACATTGATCATGGACCAACTTCGTATTTTCCAAGTTAGTTGATGTTAATTTATCATATTTTTTCTGAACTTCTTTCTATATTATAATTTTATAAATTTCAATATAATAAAAAAAATTTTTAAATACTGAGAAACCAAAAGTTGTAACCAACACGTTACTTTGTTTTTATTTTAATTACTGAAATAAGAAATTCCTTATTGTGGGTTGGGAGGTAAACAAATAAATCATGAATAAAATTGTAATTAATGCATTTTTATTTGAAGATAAAATTTCTTTTTCTTGTTACTTTTTTTTTTTTTTTAATTTTTCGAAATCAAATAACTAAAAATACTTTCGAATAGAATTAACAAAGCTGGTCCCAACTCAAAATTTCGCTCAAACTAATTCGTGACCAAATCTCTCCCGAATTGATAAAAATAAAAAATAGTTAAAGACCAAAACTTGCAAAATTTCGATCCAAAATTTTTAAAATTGACCCAATCCGAATCTGCAATGATTCAAATCCAAAATCAATATGATTTGAAACCCGTAAAAATTGAATTATATATATTAAAAAAAAAAAAAAAACTTGAACTATAATTATATGACTTTATTTTTAAAAAATAAAAATAAATAAATTATAAAAATGTTTCTTAAATAAAAATTTAAAAATATTATTATTTATAATTATTAAATAATTATATCTATAATATATTATAAAAAATTAATATTGAATCTTTAAATTCAATTATAAAATAAAATTAATTTTGAAACACACTAAATATGATTATCAAATAATTTTTAATACTACCCTTATTATATTTACAATAATTATCAATAAAAAATAATATCATCAATTTTAAATTTAGTTTCATTATAAAAATAATCATTTAAAATATATTATTGATTTATTTTAATATTAGATAAAAAAATTAATAAAAAATTATGTTTAATTCATTTATTAATATATATATATATATAGATACATATTAAAAGTAAAATTAAGGTGATGAGGATAGAACTAATTATTAGTAATGGTAAATTAAAGTATAATTTAGAAGTATACTATCATAATAATAATTTTGATGCAACTAATTTTTATACTTTATTGATATTAAGATTACTTATACTTAGGTAACTACACTTATAAAGTTTAGGGTTATTAGCATTATATTAATTAATTTAATAATATATACTGTTGAACATTTTAATTGGATGTTTGATCAATTTGTGCATATCCAATTTTATTATATTTATATTAATGTCAAAATGATCAAATTAATACTTTTTTAAATAATGTTTACCATTTAACTTTGTAAATTTTGGTCAATTAGTGTAACGATTATATCAATGTTATACGTTAATGTCAATTAGTGTATATAACTTTTTTTAATTAACATTCTAAAAGAACATTTGATCAATCATTTTATATGATTATATTTAATGTAATAATGTTAGTATTATAATTCACAAAACTAAAAACAAAATAGATATAAGATTGAATAAATTAATTAACCATTTATTCATATTAATATTTTTTTGTAAATGATAATTGATACTTTTTAATAATGTCTACCATTCAACATTATAATTTAACGATTGGTAATTGATGAATATATTTATATCTAAGGTTAATATCAAAATGGTCAAATGTTAAAATTAAATCAATATTATATCAATTAATTTTTACATGTTATGGTTTTTTAACATGTCTAAATATTGATTATTAACATTAAAGAAATTAATTGATAATATTTTAATGTTTGCTATTCAACATTCTAATTGAACATTTAGTATATACGATTAAATCTAATGTAATTATTTGGTAATTCATTTACTTCCAAATCAAAAAATAAAATAAATGTTAGAAAAATTTCTTGAAAATTGAAAGTACTTGTTAACAAATTATAATATAATGACTAACAAAGCTAATAAAATAAAAGTAATATAAAAGAAAATTAAAAATAAAAATTTGTTAGACTAAGTTGCTAAAGTTAAGTGCCCAATGGTTCAATGGGTTATTTCGTTAAGACTTAAGGGCAAAAAAATCATTTACATAAATATTTAGTGGATTTTATTTATAATTTGTTGATTTTTTCAAATAATTTTTTTTTTATGTAGCTTAATGGTTTTGGACTTTTATTTTTATATATTTATTTAACTATTTGAAGTTACAAAATATACTAAAAAAAGGAATGGATATTATTAAAATAAAAATTTATTATATAATAAAAATTTATTAATTTTTAACTTTAATATTTCTATCATTTTTATTTAAATTATTATTTTTGAAATTATAAGAAATTTTATAACTTGTAAATTTTCAATATGATTTTTTTTCTGAACTCTCTCAATTCAAATTGAATCAAATTTGAAATAATTCGAATTTAATCAATTTGAAATAATTCGAATTTAAAATAACCTGTATCCAAAATAATATGAAATCAAAAAAAATTTAATTCAAAATTATCCGAATATAAAATAATTTGAATTCAAAAAGAATCATAATAGGAATGAACTGAATCCAAAAATAACCTAATTCAAATTTGTTTCAACTTATTCATTTATTATCTCTACTTTCGAATGCGAGAATAATATTTTGAATAATTAAAATTAAAATTTTAGGTTTTTAAAAAGCAAATTCATATTTTAATTGTACATTAAACGATTCTTTACTGTCCTTTGTTGGTTTCATTTCACTTAACTTATTTTTCAACAATTACTTTTCTTTGATTTTGGATGTAAATCATAGAAAGCTGAGAGAAGATCTGAATCCGTGTATGGATCTAAAACGAGCAAATATCAGAGTGGTAGACTGGAAGTAGCAACAGTGGCGTCTGTGGGTTGAACGTTGACCACCACACGCTGCCAGCTTCCTCTTAAAAAAAATCAATTTTTAATAATATATTTATTTATGAGACCAGGTCTTCGGTCCACACTAAAAACTCCACCAAAACGCGTTTCCTTTTTCTCGTGCCATTTTCCACTTTTCAAAACCATTTTTAAACCCAACCCAACCCAACCATTTTCACGCCATCATCTTATTTCCTATCCCGCCATGAAATTCTTATCAAAACAATTTCTATGGGTCCTTTCTTTTGTAAAACTCTTCTGATTATTTCATTTCTTTGTTTTATTTCTTTCAGTTTTTCACTCTCCACTGTCTCCATATCTGAAACTTCTAACCTCACATTAATATGTGCTTTAGTACCATCCCTTGGCCCACCTCACCCATCTTCTCTAAATTGTTCTACCTTTCCAACTCCTGGTATTCAAACTCCTTTTAATTCCAATGATTCCTTTTCTGGGATTGTCTCTGGAGACGGATTTTTATGTGGCTTGAGACCTTCTTTTTCCTCACCCAATATTTCAGTTATGCATTGTTGGAGATTCTTTAGCAACGGCACTACCAGAGAGTTCAAACGAATTTACAGGGGTCCAGCTCTTAACCAACTTGAAGCAGCCGACTATCACATTTGTGGTCTTAATGAGACCAACACTCTTGAATGTTGGCAGTGGCCTGAATTCAACCAAACCAAGGATCAAAACTTTTCTACCATGGCTGTCGGTGAAGGATTTGTATGTGGATTATCAGAAACTGGAACGATTAGCTGCCTTGGAAACGTTGCTGGTATCACTGGTCAAGAGCCCAGAGGGAATTATAGTGTGATTGCTGCTGGGTTTAGGCATGCTTGTGCTATCAGTTTACATAATGATTTAGAGTGTTGGGGAAATATGGTGGCGGGTGAAAAGCCTCAGGGAAAATTCAACGCACTGGCTCTGGGACAGAATCGAAGCTGTGCCTTGAGGACTAACGGAACAGTCGTTTGTTGGGGGCAGAATAATTTCAGTCTGCCACAGGAATTGGAAAGGCATAGTTTTATTACAATCAAAGCAAAGAGAAATGTTTTCTGTGGAGTTTTAACATTTAATTATTCTCTTTTCTGCTGGGGCAATGCAAATTTTAACTCCATGCCTATGGTATTCTCAGAAGTATTACCAGGGCCATGTAGGAATATATGTGCATGTGGTTCAGTGCCGGGATCAGGCTTATTTTGCAGCAATGGTGGATCTATTTGCCAAGCTTGTAATATGCCTTTTCCGCCAATAATGCCAGCCCTGCCAACAGCTCCCTCGCCACAACCTCACAACAGATCCACAAGCAGTGATTTGAATGGCAGAATGGTAGCTTTTCTAGTTGTTGGTTGTGTAGGATCCTTCTCTTTCTTGCTAGTCATTGGTTTCTTTGTCTTCAGATATTGTAAAGGTGGAGGGTGCCGTGTCCATGATTCAGGTCGACTGGATGAGAATGGTACCCCTGCTAATGGTGTTTCCAATCAGCCCCAAACTCCCCAAGCCCCATTAGCACCGGCAGTTCTGGAGAAGCGTCTGAGCCAATTGACCAGCTTGGGAACAACAGGTCGCTTGGAGGAATTTTCTTGGGAAGCCCTGATTCAAGCCACCAACAATTTCTCTGAAGATCATAAAATTGGGACCGGCAGTTTTGGTTCTGTCTACCATGCTAAATTGGATGATGGGCGTGAAGTGGCCATCAAACGAGCTGAAATAACAAGCACTTCATCGTATGCAGTTGGCACCAAACGACAAGAAGATAAGGACAATGCGTTCGTGAATGAGCTTGAATATTTATCACGCCTCCACCACAAAAATGTTGTCCGGTTATTGGGATTTTGCGAAGATTTCAATGAGCGTGTATTGGTATACGAGTACATGAACAATGGCACACTCCATGACCATCTCCACAAGTTCCAAAATTCAACCTTTATGTCATGGGATATACGGCTTAGGATAGCATTAGATGCAGCAAGGGGGATTGAGTACTTGCATGAATACGCAGTACCACCAATCATACACCGTGATATCAAGTCCTCAAACATTCTTGTCGATGCAAATTGGACTGCAAAGGTGTCTGATTTAGGATTATCATTAATGGGTCCTGGGGATGATGAGTCACACCTGTCGCTGCATGTAGCAGGCACAGTCGGATACATGGATCCTGAGTACTACAGGCTTCAACAACTGACTAGTAAGAGTGATGTGTACAGCTTTGGAGTAGTGTTGCTAGAATTATTATCAGGATACAGGGCAATCCATTTGAATGAAAATGGGGTGCCAAGGAATGTGGTGGATTTTGTGATTCCATACATTCTTAAAGACGAAATTCACAGAGTTTTGGACCCCAGAGTCCCACCGCCAACGCCTTTCGAAATAGAGGCGGTAGCATATGTAGGATACTTAGCAGCCGACTGTATAAGAGCAGAAGGCCGAGATAGACCTTCAATGACCGATGTTATAAATGGCTTAGAAAAGGCATTAGCTGCCTTCTTTCGATCCACTACAGAGGCCAAATTTGTATAGCAAAGTAACTAGTAAAATTTTCCGCCATGTACATTTTAATTTATTGATTCAACTGAGGCACAAAGTACCTACCAATAATGTTAAAGAGAATAGAATGTGCTCTTTGGTTAGAATTTGACAAAGTCGTTATGATTATTTCTTTCGTTTTGAATTTGCCCTACCAAGGCTTCAAGAACGGGTCAAAGAAAGGGAAAGATTTGGATTTTTTTAAGTATTAAAGGACGCATCATATACAAGATTAGACTTGTTTTTTATTGGTAAGCCCGGTTAAGACTTCTTATTCAATGCTTAAGCATTATTATTATTTGTAAATAAAATTGCCCACTTGTTCAAGAAAGGATTTGAAATTGCAGGGACCCTGTTGGTTAAAATATGTCGGTGGTCTCCAACTTTTCAATCAACTTTTATTTTCTTCCTATGTCTGCAGAGGTGGAAATTAGGCGATTAGAGTTATTTTGGGTTAAAAAATTCAAATTATTTCATAGTTAAATTATTTGTAGTTTGGTTGTCTGGAATTGGAATCATTTCATTTGACATAATTTATTAGTGTTAGTTTAAATTAAAATTTAAAGTTAAATCATTTTAAGTTTGAATTATTTTGAATTAAAGGTTCAGTTTGTTTCTAGTTAAATGCTTAATTTAAAATTAAAATTTTAAAGTGATGTTCAATTTAGACTTAAACATATTATTTTATACAAATCAAGATTAAACATTATTGAAAGTTTACATTTAAAAATGTATATAAATGAAAATTTGTGTGTTCTCACACGTATCATTAACCTTAATAAAAATAACAGTTTAAAAAAAGTGATCATGTGTCATTTTGTAGGTCTTTTTTTTTTTTTTTGTGATTGAGTATCATTTTAATAAAAAAATTAAAAAAATCCTTAAATGAGCTTTACATTTTAGAAAAAAATTAAAAAAATCGTTTCATTCTTTTTTACTATTTTGATTTTGATTTAAAAATAAAAAAAAAACAAGAAAATAAAAATTCAAAATTCCATTTGAAAATGAGCTCCAGTGATCTTTACTTTGCATCATCATGAGAATTTCAATTACTCACTATTACTCTAAAAAAAAAAAATCACTAATCCACAATACCCATGAAATTAAAAAATTCAAAGCAAACCACACAATTTTTTTTATCGTCCAAAGATTTTGAATTGTAACATATATAAAAAAAAAAATCAAAATCGGTGATCTAACATCATCCCAATTATAGCACTCAAGGATTACAACCCCAATTTTAGTAAGTAAGATAGAGGCACACCTCATAACCCTTGCCCCCTCAGTAATTCACTTCTTTGAGATAACCTTTTCACCTCCAACTTCTCATTAACAAAATTGCAAAGAAAAGATTCATTAATTGGATGTTTGTTAATTTTGGTTTCATGCAAAATTTCTAATTTGACAAAGATTGAGTTTAGACAAGCCACTGATGGCTCAATGAGGTAAGGTTTAGAATTTCCACTTTTCTTGTATTATGAATACGAGTTACAACAAGAGAGAAAAGGTAAACATTAAGAGAAATGAGTTGAATAAGGAAAAAAAAAGAAAAAATTGGCATAAAAAAAAGATAGCCCTCGGTTGCATAATAAAAAGATGGGAATGGGAATCTTCACAAAGACACAAAGGTTAAGGGGAGATAAATCTAAAGTTAGGGCAAAAGGAAAGAATCTAGAAAGAAAGAAGAAAGAAAGAAAGTTGAAAAAAGTTATGTTTTTCTTAAATAAATTTGAAAGTTATTTTTTTTTAATGGAAACTGAAAGATAAACTTATGCAATATATATACGAACATACATCTATACTTACCTGGTTAGCGAAAATGGAAGTGCAAACTTAACTTGAATTATTGATCATTAAACAAGATCATAGAGCAAAAGTTGTTTGTTTCCATTGTGTAATTCTTTCAATACACCGAATGTAATAATTCCTCTTAAGACACGTTAACTATTGATCTCTCTTTCTCCTTTTTTTTTTTTTTGTTTGAGAAATTTTTCTTTTTTCTTGTATATCTCTTAATGGTTGAATGTCATTTTTTTTTGTTATTAAAAGTGGGGCATCAATTCTTCAAGTGGTTTAAAAGTTAAACCAATAATTGCCTAAAGGCAATTTTTTCCTCAACAACAAAACTGCCTTATGACAGTTACCAATAGACGGCGTGCTCAAGTCACACATTATGGGTGGATCCGACCACTTTTCTTATATCTATCACTCACACAGAATGGGTGTCAAACTCTCATGATCTCAAGAACATTTTCTATATTCTTTACATTTGGTTCATACAAATAAATTGTGCAACCAGCATGCTTCGAAAGGTTAATTACTATATGATTGTTAGGTGCATATAATAGCTCATAATCACATCTATTCACTTATACAATTGTTAAGTATGTAAAATAATTTTCAAGTACAAATAGAGTAAGTATGCAACACCTAGATCCATTCAATCACATTTTAAGTTTCTCACGATCCCTTTTTTATCATATTGTATAGTATACTTGTGTATTCAAAATTATATTCAACATTTCAAACATAATTGGTCAACCTATGAATACAACTAAATATGACACTAGAATGATATTCCTTTATTCTAGAATCTCTCTATTTCAATTCAGCTGCTATCTAGATAGGTCTAATTAGATTTTTTAATCCATGACCATTGGCAACATGCTAAGTAGCTAAATATGGGAATGGGAAGCTTTACAAAGACATAAAGGTTAAGGGGAGATAATTCTAAAGTTAGGGCAAAAGGAAAGAATCTAGAAAAAAAAAAAAAGAAAGAAAGAAATTTGAAAAAAGTTATGTTTTTCTTAAATAAATTTGAAAGCTATTTTTTTTTAATGGAAACTGAAAGATAAACTTATGCAAGATATATACGAACATACATATATACTTACTTGTTTAGCGAAAACAGAAGTGAAAACTTAACTTGAATTATTGATCGTTAAACAAGATCATAGCGCAAAAGTTGTTTGTTTCCATTGTGTAAGTCTTTCAATACACTGAATGTAATAATTCTTCTTGAGACACGTATATTGTTAATCTCTTTTTCTTTTCTTTCTTTTTTTTTTTTGTTTGAGAAACTTTTCTTTTTTCTTGTATATCTCTTAATGGTTGAATACCATTTTTTTTTTTTGTTATCAAAAAATGGGCGGCAATTCTTCGAGTGGTTTAAAAGTTAAACTAATAATTGCCTAAAGGCAATTTTTTCCTCGATAACAAACTACCTTATGGCAGTTACCAATAAATGGGGTGCTCAAGTCACACATTATGGGTGGATCCAACCACTTTTTTTTACATCTCCCACTTATACATAATGGGTGTCAAACTCTCATGATCTCAAGAATATTTTCTCTATTCTTTACATTGGGTTCATACAAATAAATTATGCAACCAGTATACTACAAAAGGTTAGTTACTATATGATTGTTAGGTGCATATAGTAGCTCATAATCACATCTATTCTCTTATACAATTGTTAAGTATGTAAAATAACTTTCAAGTACAAATAGAGTAAGTATGCAACACCTAGATCCATTCAATCACATTTTAAGTTTCTCATGATCCCTCTTTTATCATATTATATAGTATACTTGTGTATTCAAAATTATGTCAAAAATTTTGTATTTCCCATTAAGGAGATTTAGGCAAACAAAAAGGGTTGCATTCGTCTTTGCTCTTATTCTCTCGTATTATTTCATAAAATTCTTAATTAATGTTTCATACTTATGACCAGTCTCTAAAGACATCCAGATATATTAAAGAAGATTCTTTTGTCTAGGAGTCAAAAGTGTATCCTTCAGCATTTCATTTTTTATCTGATCATTCCTAATGAGCATGTAGCTACGCCAAATCAGTTCTAAGATCATGCTATTAACCTTGATGATATGCCACTTAATATCATTTTTTGGATCCATTCAATATTTTGTCAATTCTACCGTCAGCCTTGTGACTCTAAAAACTTATGCTTATGTCCTCATAATAATGGGAATCCTCACGAAAGTAGTCATAATTTTCTGTAACAAAATATGAGAAAAATTCACAGATCCATGAGTTAACACAAGTTAAAAAATGATTAAGACTCATCTCAATCATTGTTGTGTGATCTGACATCCTAAAGTCAATCAAAGACTAAAACAATTTTTAAAAAATTGTTAAAAAATTTTAAGAACAATTTCAAAAAGCAAAAAGGAATTTAAATGCTTTACAAAGGGTTTTCGAATGCTTGCTTTCTATTTAAAAAAAATAGGGTATTGAATGCCCTGAAAAGTATTCAAATGCTCTTTTTCTATTTCAAAAATAACCATTAATTCTTAAAATTTTTCCTAGGGCATTCGAATGCCCTAATTCAGGCATTTGAATACCAATATGAAAATAAATAAAAAAAAGAGTGATCAAAACAACAAAACATCAATAAGATTTTACTTAAAACATCAAAGAATCATCATAACATTAATTATACAACAAAATCATGCAATTATGCATCATCTACTATGGATTTTCATAAGCACAAAAGAACATATCAAATTGTTTCAGTGTTTTATGAAGAACATGCAAAATAAACCAAAACTCAAGCCAATTTGACTTTGATACCAACGAAAGATAAACACATGCAAGAAATATATGAACATATATATATGTACTTGTTTAGCAGAAACGAAAGCAAAAGCCTGACTTGAATTGCTGGTCATTGAATAATATCAGAGTACATAAGTTGTTTGTTTTCATAGCATAAATCCTTCAACACATCGAACGTAAGAATTCCTCCTAAAACTTGTAGATTATCGATCTCTCTCGTTTTTTTCTTATTTGATAAAGTTTTCTCTCTTTTTATATATCTCTTAATGGTCGAATGCCATTCTTTTTGTTATTAAGATATAGGTGACAATTATTCAAGTTGGTTTTAAAGATAAACCAATAACTACCCAAAAACAATTCTTTCTTAGGCAACAAACTACCTTATGGCAATTGATAATAGATTGGGTGCTTGGTTCACTCATTATAGGCGAACCCAACCTTTTTTCCTACAGAAACTAACAATTTTGTTATACTAATCAGGGTTAAAATAAAGTTTAAAAGTGAAAACCTCCAAGTCTCTTGCTTACCTAATTGATAATCAAAGCTAGCCAACTTATGGTCTAACATATTTGGGATTTTAGAAATATGGCCAATAGAGCATGAATGAAAATGTGAAACGAGGTCTCTAATATTTGAAGCCAAATTTCAATTATCCTAATAAGATATATTTATGCAATTTGCCTTATTGACCATCGATAAGGAATCACTTTCCATTATTATATTATATTATTCATATCTTGTTCTTTTGCTAGCTGTAAACACCAAAAGATAATTTTAATCTTAGCTTGGAGCAAACTATCAACTCCTGCCATACGAGATACAACTCAAAACAACACCACGCATGTCGTATCACCCATAACTATTCCTAATCTTGCCTCGTGCTCCTTTTCTTTGTAAGTAGCATCCATTTTAATCTTTACTAAACCCTATGGTGATGGTGGTAA